ATGAAAATAGTAGCATGGGGCGATACATATTCTTGGTTTTAAGTACCAAAAAAAACTTAATTTTGAGAGATTCATAGTATTTACCATCGACTCATAAAACACTAAGTACATAATGATGCTGACTTGTGGCATAATATCGAACCATACTGTTGAACCCTGTTGAAGATGATATATACGCAGCATAAAAAGATCAGAGAACTACTGCATCAATGGAGGGTCTCCCCATAATTTTGCTTCAAATCAAATATGTAGTTGAAGATTAAGCACACCAACCCTTTTATCTAATTCAGTCGTTGAGTCTTTCTTTGATAATTCAGAGGTCTCAAATGCAATCTTTTCTCACATTCCCTAAGCGCTAGTCACTCTGGTTTCTTGAGGGATATATTTTAATCCAATTCAAGTCACGGTGATCAACCGCTGAACTTAAGTAAATAGTCGGCACAAGACTAAACACCCTATAACAAAAAAAAAAAAAGATTAACCACACCAAAATCAGCCAACCCGACAATGATCGTTCAACTGCTTGATTCGATTAGTTTTTAACAAAATATGTCCGTCAAATACCTCGTGGGGCAAGGATCAAAGGCATAGTTAATAACCGACATCTCTATTTTTTTTTTTTTGGCCCACTTAATTTACACCATCATGTTTTGGCTGTTTTAAGTTTATATATTCATATTTTGTAGTTGTAGATTCAACCCTTACCGACTCCATGGCCTTTGCTTTGTCCGATCCGATAATATTCCTGGAATTTGGGTCCCCAATTTGTCTCTTCAACGACTCTTCCCGGAATCTATTGACATAAAATATCAAGTTTTTAGTCCATAAAACTACAAAGTGGATAATAAATTACGATTAATGCTAGACTGATCAAATTATGTGATAAAAAACAAAGCTCAAATAACGTGACAACGGTCATAATAGGTAAATCTTGAATATCAAATGAATAAAAACGAGACTAAAAGTATCATTATTTCATATTATTTAGTATGCTTTGTATCCCTATTTTTTGTCGGTCAAATATTACTTTAAAATTAATGTGTTATTTATAAAATTAATTAGAGTCGTTTGTCATGAATTATTGCCGAAGATACTCAGGAGTCAGGACAACTCATCTCATGGTAGTAAAATGTGGAAGGATAGGATCAACCTTTGAAAATTGTTTTTAAATTATATACTATTTGCTAAATAAGTTTAATTTATGATTCTTACAGTCTACTATTCAACCTTTTTTTTTTTCACTTTAATTAATAGAACCACCCTCAAATTTTTTTTCCAAAATTTCGTCTCCCTTGATCCAATTTCTAATCCTGCCCTGAATGAGATCCAAATCAAATTGCAAATGTGTGCAAGCTTAGGATCAATGCACTACATTATTAGTTTCCAAAGTCTATTTATTATTTTTGGGTTAATTGAATTGGAAGTCCCCAAAATATGAGATTTGTCTCATTTTGGTTCACAATATTTTAATTGTATCATTTTAGGTCGTAAAGTATTAAATATATTTTTATGTAGTCCCTCAAGCAGATAAAGTTCAGATTGCTAACAATTTTTTATTATAAATTTGTCATGTAATACCTAAATATGGGTAAAAAAATAAATTGGATAATTTTTGACCATATTTTTACCCAAATTTTGGTCAAAGAGCTATCCAAATTATACAATTTTGATCATAAACTATCCAAATTTTATAAAAAAATACTCATATTACACATTTTTTGTCAAGGACTAACTAAATTTTAGTTAAGAACTATCAAAATTATTTTTTTCCCATATTTATGTATCGCGAGACAAATTTATGATAAAAAATCATTAGTAATTTGAATGTTGTCTACTTCAAGGACCACATAGAAACATATTCAATATTTCAAATATCAAAATGATGAAATCAAAATATTATGGACCAAAATAAGATAAACTGTATATTTTGGGGACCTCTAGTGCAATTAACCCATTATTTTTTTGTGTAAACGGTGAGGAGTATTTGGACAAATTCACGCACATCTCGACTAATCTCTTTTTGAGTCTTGTCAAAGGCAAACCATCCACGTCGAAATTAGATTATTCATGAGAGACCTAATCTCAATGAATTATCAATATTCAAGTTTAAGATGTTTAGATTTACACATTACCTGTACAATCTTGGATTACTTACAAAGCCCATTTTTCCACGTTACAAATAGTTTCAAAAGTCTATTTCACCTCGTTACAAATAGAATAAGAAGTAGAACTATAAAGTTGGAAGTTTCTTCAAGAACTGCATTGCCCTTTAAGAATACGATATTGTGTAATGGTGCAAGAAAACCCACACTTCTCTGCTCAGGATTCAAGATCAAGCAAGACCAGAGAGGCTACTTTCGGTTCTTTAATCCAGTAGGCTAATATGAACCAATCATATAGCAAAAGTAAGAGAACTTAGTTTTTGAATTTTTCCTTGTGCCACAGAGAGAAAGACCGTGTATAACTAATCATTTCTATATCTGCAATACGAATTTTTGTCGGATTGTCATTTTTTACCTCATGCCACTATGAATTGTAGTAACCATAAATCTCAAAAAGGTGGACACAACTTTAAAAGGTCTAGATAAATCACCCTCCAAGGTAATATTTGATGGGACCTAGCTGTTTCTTTTCTTTTTCCATGAGTTCCTCTCTCTTTCTGATCCACCTACTTTATAAACAGATCAATTGGCCTCATTTTGAAGATCTTCACATAGTCTCTCTTTCCCTCTACAGCCAATGCATATTCACTAAGCCCTTTCTCTTCTATTCCTACTCCCAATAAACATGAAAACTATAGACCTCTTTTGTGCCTCTCCAGCGTCCACAGCCATATGCACAAGCATTGACCAACGTACCATTGTCCGCCATGCCACGAGGCCAATCGATCGCCACCGTCATCATCTTGATGATCGAAAAAAAACCCGAGCTCCTGTCCCCCGTTCATCTCAACCACCCTTTGATGCCAAGTTCCGTTATCAAAACAGTAGATTTCGTTCTGTTAAGAAAAGTGAATCACGTAGAAAAAGCTCAGCTGACATACTTGACCTCACCAGTCCTCCTGGTTCCTCTAGGTATCTCTTAAGCGACACACCCTTCATTGACTACTCGTCAAATTCTGATCAGGTCTCAGCATTGATTCCTAGCCAAGCTGTGACTGCTAGGCCCCAGAACTTGCGTTCAAATGGTTCTCTTGCTTCAAAATTTTCAACAAATGGATCAAATTATTATCCTTCTTTAACAACTTTGTCACCTCTCTCAAATGACTCTCCTGTTTTAAAATCTTCATCAACCCGCTCTCGCCCAAGAAATCAGGTTCTTCTCCATCCTTCTTCCTGTTCTCCTAAATTCGAAGACAATCAGACATGGTGTTTTCATAAATATATATAATATTTTATTGGATTTTGCAGGTTGTGGAATTGAGGGTATCTATTCATTGCAAGGGCTGTGAAGGAAAAGTGAGAAGGCATATCTCCAGAATGGAAGGCAAGTAATTTTTAGTACTTAACTTAGTTTGCTAGTCTTATAATAAAACTTTTTTCTTTGAATTATATGCTGATATTTTCTACTTAAAGATTCTGCCAATTCTACTGTTTTTTTTTTTTTATATTGTCACAAGCTTAGATAGTTAAATGGGTTGTTAGCTAATAAGCAACACAAATACAACTTAATTAAACCATGGTTTTGGATGAATTTGTGCAGGAGTGACATCTTTTAATATAGATTTGGCCACAAAGAAAGTGACAATAGTAGGGGACGTGACCCCTTTAGGCGTGCTCGCAAGCGTCTCACGGGTGAAAAATGCAGAATTTTGGTCGTCTCCAACTTCATCATCTTCTTCATCTTCATCTCCAATGGCCGGCCTGATATACTAATGGCTTTTAAGAATATTTTTTTGAATTTCTATAAGCCTTGCAATGAACTAGTTTGAAACTCCGGGTAAGTGTGGGTTTGAAGGAATATATGTATTAATCGCTAATCTTGTCTAATATGTAATGTGTGTAAGTAGATTAAGGGTTAATACCATACAAACTTACAAAATTGACTCGTTTTTGACATATTAAATGTGTCAAATAACATGTGATATGTCAATGTGAGTGAGACTCATATCGTTGGTACGACACATCAACAAGTAACAATAACGAATCAATCTGGTAAGTTTGTATAACAATTCTTCATGTACAAATCGTAAGATGGGAACAACATCACAATGCAATCCAAAGTAAAAGAGGTGGTTTGGTTCTCATGCGCTATGTGCTCGTCATTTCTTGGAACAAACAACTGTTTGTGCCTTTTGGTTTTGGATGTTCCCCCGACCTTTCTTTAAATTTCAAAAACTTGCTTTCCTTGGCATGTGGTCTCTGAAATGTCCTCTTTATCTGCTTTCCATAAAATGCAGTATACAGTTGGAGGAAAATTGGAAAGCATTCACTGTCGTACACAAATTCAAAATAAGGAAGTTCTTTTATCAGAATAACGATTTTTCATCATTCTAAAGTTAATTAGGGTTAATTTCATTTTGTGAAGTCTGGCAGAACACAGGCGCATAATAAGAACCATTTGGGCATGGTTCAACTATATCATTTACCTTAGAATTTAACCTCGAAGTTAATGTAGATGGTTAGCTTGGCCACACAAAATTCACCATATCTGGGGCCGACCTTCACCCTCTAAAGTTTGATCCAACCCCCTCTCACCCCTTCTTTGAAATTTAGAACACTGCCATCGGCTAAGCTGTGTTATGTCCCTTAGCATTTTCAAAAGTGAACTCTCGCCAAACTTTCTTCTTTCTTTGGTTTTGAAAATCGCTTGCTTACAGAATTAAAATAATACAGCTCTTGCTTATTTTGAGAGCTTAATCAGATGGTTCATTTTTCATATCCGTACTTTTTGCAAGATCATAAAAGGCATTATTATAAATTGCAGAACCCACCTAATCCGATGATAGTTAAGGTACCAAGATGAATGAACTTTTTCGTTTTTTTTCGGATTGAGACATACCAACATGAAAGAACATTATCAGAAACATGGGTCAAACATCATCATGATCTCGTAGCATGAGCACCATACACATATATCCATTATGAGGTAGTGACAGGTACATGTACATGTACACCATAATAATGGCTGAATACTTAGATTGATTCTCCAATTCAAAATACAGAGATACATTCCTTGGCAAAAAATCTGTAATATATGTCACGTTGGCCAGTCCCAACTCTACTCATGGTTACATTTCTTTTCTGTGTGCTGTTGCACCCTCCCCAGGATGAAACACAATGATGACAGCAATGTATACTTTTGGTTGTAAGTCCATCCAAAATTTTCCAGAGGTGGGGCTAGTTCCTCTCCCTCTCTTTTGCTTTTGGGACTTTCTGAGCCCTCTAACAAACTGATAGGACAAAAGATAATTTAGAATATTAATCGGTGTAGAGACAAGCAAACCCAAATCTCATATGCATCCATGCTTTGGGTTCAGTTTTCAACTTTTGCTTTTCCTAATCTTTATTAGCATATTTGGTAGCTTTAATTTCTTTGACTAAAATCTTTGGACGGCTGAGAAAGAAAATACCCTGAAAAGTTGAATTTGATTCATCCATCATGGGATTTTATAATGTTTCGGGCATAAAATTTTTGACTTGGAGCGGCGCACCACCAGTAATTATGGGAATGGAAGAAGTCTTTTCACCTTTGAGGAGGTGTTTGGATTCTGAATGGTATTACACCTCACACAATTTTAGCTGTTAAACAGTTTTATCCAAACAAAGTCTTAAATAGTTTGAAATTATAGGTAAGTCAAGACCTCACTTCACAAAACTCGAGATAGTTTTGATCTTGTTTCTTGTCAGATGCATGCATTTGGAATGAAAGAATTACGTGTATTCGTGAAGATTAGTCGGACATTCTAGCATTAGTCAATTCCGATATTGAGGGATGTGTGCAAGGGTTTTAATCAACCAAACAGGTTAAGCAAAAAGGTGGATATGATTGACATGATTTGAAAGGTTAACAAGGCCTAAAATGTTAATCATGCCCTATATTCATCCAAGCAATTTTTGTTTGGTTTCTCCACTTTATGAGACAGGATTCCAGATTTATTGTTGATACAGCTTAAATTTTGCATTATATACGAATGATTAGCCCACTCTAGAAATTTCTTAAAAAGGAGAAAATTTGATTTATTGTATTGGCTGCACAGCAATATAATTATTTTTTGGTTTTGGGGTTAAGGGTTAGACCGACTTACAAACACTTAAATTAATTTTTAAATTGATTTAATTAAAGATAGATCATTTATGTCGGATGATTAGTCTTAAAATATGTAGAGTTATTGTCATTATTGTTTGGTTAATTACCTTTTATTGGGAGTTAAATGTGATTGAATGGTAAAGTTTTAAGTTTTATGTGGGTTTTGTAGTTTGTTTTTATTTATAGGTAAAGGAGATCAAAAGAACTGCATTGGGAGCAAATACCTAGAGTAGGATGAAGTTGGAGCATTTGGAGTGAGGAAAAGAGCCAGAGCATAATGTTAGGTGTGTCTGGATGCAAATAAGGAACTGAAGGGGCTAGCCCTTATTATTACACTTGTTATGGTAATTAATGAGCTCATGTGAGGATGATAAGACATGGCACGTGACGAAGACATCAGCTACTCGGTTAAAAAGTCTTAGTCGAACTAACTAATGTGTTCGGTGAAGTAATATTGGAGCTCGGTTTGTTCCCAACCAAGATCATTAATATGTTCGGCGAGGCAACAAAATAGTTCGGTTTATACCAAACCCAGTTGATCAATCAGCTTGGCAAACATCGAAAGTGTTCGGCCCTTATTGTGTCCAAGCTGCTTGAAACGATTGATAGAAAGATAAAAATTCGCCTATAACTTAGGCATTCAGATAAACGAATCAACGAAATTGAAGATATCAAGAGGAATTGTTAGAGAAATATCAGCAATTTCTTAAATTGAAATGTATGATTGGAAGAAGGTGTGTCACCTTGAACCAAAAATCACAGAAATCTTAATGGGATAATGATCTATAAAAATCCAAAAGAATCAAGGTGAAAAGTACGTTGAACTCTCCTAGTCTTCTTGCAATTATCTCAGTTTCATTATTGACTTAAGCATCAGAGTACTTTCGATCGAAATACCTCGATTTTGGACAGTTTATTCGTTTTACAAAAAATAAAGACTGAGATATCAAGTTCATAAATATTTATTATCAGAAATATCAAATTCAAATGTTTAATGAGAGGTATCCTTAATTTTTACCAGGAACATAAAAGAAATTTATTGTTCGTTGAAGAAAAGAGGAAGAAACAAAGGAAACAACAAAGTTTGGTGCGTCCGGCTGTGGCTGGCTTAAATTGGGCGATAACTACTTGCGTCCGCATACGATCCCTTTTATATCTGTTGACTGCTATTTGATTTGTAATAGGTCTAGACTTCACCCTATGGCCTATAAATTCTTGGTTATACCCTAAATTGGGTTGTCTTCCAATTCCCCTTTCTTCTAGTTTTCTTGTAATTTTATCTATAGGTTGCTAAATGTATAATTAAAGTTAGGGGTGATACTTTTAATAAAGTGCGGTATATATTTGGATCCAATGTTTTTTAATGCATGATTATTCTTATTAATTGGTTTCTATGTTTTAGTAAAGTTTTTGTTCTACAAAATCTATTGATTTGTTGTATCATGTATATCAAATACTTTAGATTTTCTGCGAGTCAAATAAGTGGCTTCGTATGCTTGAATTAATTAGTTAGGTTTTCCATAAAAATAATTGATTTTTAGTTTGTCTTACAAAAATGTTTTAATTGTTGGAAAGCTTGATTCATAATCAACTTTAAGAATGATGAATGATTGTGATTTACAATTAAATACTTAAACTTTATTCAAATAATTTATCAATTATACTTTTGGACTTGTTTTCAATATAATCACCGATAAATTCTTGATTAAGGTCAGTCCAACTGATCCTTTTGAGTTCAACAATCGGATCAAAATATATACTGTGAGGGTTGGATATCTAATTATAGCCCTATCCGAAGATACATGCATATATAGGTATAATTTTGTTAAAATATTTGAGGGTGAGCCGCCATGAACAAGTCTATGTACTGCTTGAGATAACAGTTGTATTTCGATTTAAGAATTTATCTATTAAGCGGCAACGGGAGCTGGATTTTCATCCTTAGAATGCTCATCATCATCCTCACACGAAATATCATCTGGATATGCATCAGAAGTTTTTGGAGCATGTCCGTCCCAATATAGAACCTTTGACCTGCAAACTATAATAATGATTATAGTGGTATATCGATTAAAGAACTTAAGAATTATAGTGGCCTATCGAATAGAGGACTTAATCGTTTATGACTTCCCATCGGATACAATTTGAACAGACAACACAATAGACATCTGTTACCATTCTACTGTCAAATTCTATGTTGTGCACATCAGCTTGATGTACACATTGAACTGCAATGTAACATGTATTAGCTAGATCCTAAGCAAAAAATTATGTGACAAAATTATTTTCCGAAGCACGAATGTTAGTAGGATTTCGAATACTAAGCTACTCTTACTGAAATTTGTGTGTTTATCGCATGTTGTATACAAATAATGAAGCAAAACGCCCAGATAAAAAAAGCCTAACATTTAAGGTTAGAAAAAAAAAATTAATTTTTGACTTGGAGCGGCGCACCACCAGTAATTATGGGAATGGAAGAAGTCTTTTCATCTTTGAGGAGGTGTTTGGATTCTGAATGGTATTAGCCCTCACACGATTTTAGCAGTAAAACAGTTTTATCCAAACAGTCTTAAATAATTCGAAATTATAAATAAATTGGTCAAGAGCTAACTTCACAAAACTCGAGATAGTTTTAATCTTGTTTATTGTCAGATGCATGCATTTGGAACGAAAGAATTACATGTATCTAAAAAGATTAGTTGGACATTCTAACTTTAGTCAATTCCAATATTGAAGAATGTGTGCAAGGGTTTTAATCAACCAAACAGGTTAAGTAAAAAAGTGGATATGATTGACATGATGATTAGAAAGGTTAACAAGACCTAAAATGTTAATCATGCCCCATATTCATCCAAGCAAATTTTGTTTGGTTTACCCACTTTGTGAGACAGGATTCCAGATTTACTGTTGATACAGCTGAAATTTTGCATTATATCCGAATGATTAGCTCACTCTAGAAATTTCCCAAAAAAAAAAAGAGAAAATTTGATTTATCGTATTGGCAGCACAAAAATCTAAATTTTTTCTACTTTTTTTTAGTATTGGGTTTAAGAGTGTTCAAACTGATTTACATACATCCGAACCAAACATCTCTCTAGTCTGATTATAGACAAGTCATTTATGCCGGATGATTGGGTTTAAAATATGAATAATTAGTCATTATTTTTTGTTTAATTACATTAGATCGGGAGTTAAATGTGCTTGAATTATAAAGTTTCAAGTTTTATGTCGATTTTGTAGTGTTTATTTTATTTATAGGTAAATGAGATCAAAAGAACCACATTGGGAGTAAACATGCAAAGTGGGATGGAGGTTGGAGCATTTGGAGCGAAGAAAAGAGCCAGAGTAGAATGTTAAATGCGTCCGGACGCAGATAAGGACCTTCCGGACAGAAGAAACTTATTGTTTATCGAAGAAAAGAGGAAGAAACAAAGAAAATAATAAAGCTTGGTGCGTCTGGACGTGATTTACTTAAATTGGCGGAAAACCTATTTGTGTTTGCCCGCACATCTCATGTATCCTCACGCGATCCCTTTTATGTCTACCAATTGCTCTTTGACTTGTAATAAGTTTACACTTCTTCCTTATGCTTACTTTTCGTCCCTCCTATCAAATATAAAAGAGAAAATGAATGATTTATCTTTTGAAGGACATAAAAAGTATATCATTTCTATTTTTTATCATTCTATTTTTTCATCCATCCTACCAAACGGACCATTAACAAAATAAGACCATGATGGAAATAGTTTATCAATAAAACAATGAAGTCTTTACTAAATACAATCCCATTTCTCTGATTGGCTTCTTGTCTACCATTTTATAAGCCATTGAAGTTTGAGATGATGAACCTATCAATACCATCATCCAATATACCATATTCAACTTCTAGGACATTCAAAAGTTTTTTAGGAGTTCATATAGGTGATTAGATAAGTTACTAACTTTTCACTTTGATCATATTGTTAAACAGACTCAGTATATAGATTATACATAACTTTTTCCTTCTCAATTTGGTTGTTTCACTGCTGAGTTTCTTTGTTGTTGCATATTTTCAGCTGCAATGCAATGTTTAAAGAGGAAAAATCAACATGAACAGAATATTGAAACACTTGGAAATTTTCAACTGCGCATTCATGACCAGGTACTCTTTTGATAGATTGTAGAATCTAGTATCTTTTATGTAATGCGGCCATGATGTTCTCTTGAAGATTGATTGCTAAATATTAACATTCTTTGAGCTTGGATATCAGATGATAATGCTAGAAGGCGCTAAAGCTACAACCGAGACAGTTGATGCTTTGAGAACTGGTGCAGCTGCAATGAAGGCCATGCAGAAGGCTATGTACGTTTTGCTTCCTTGAATTTCTCTCTTTTGGCTATAATTTGGAGTCATCTTGAAATCTTATGGTGTTAAGCTGAAACAAGACATGATTAATAAATGGGGATGGTTTTCCTTGGGCAATTTGGAAAGACTAATTTCTGGAGTTGTAAAATACCAAGCATAATAGTTTACAAGCGATGTGAAAACACATTGCATGCTCCATTTAGATGAATATTGCCTGTTACAGATCTAGATGGATTTAGCATGTCGTTCATCATTTTATTGGGTTTCATGCTGCATAGAAGTTAAACAGTTTGTTGATGATTACATGTCAATCTCATTCCTGATTTGGTCTTTTGGCATTCACTGCCTTGATTATTTTTTTTAGTGTCTTTCTCACATTTTTTGGATTAGGATCAGAGATTCTCCTCTGTACTGCTCATCAATGGGGGCAATTTTGTATATTCATTGCTTGTTAGGAATTTTGTAACGTGCATATGGTAAATATCCTGCCCTCATAGATCTTCTAATGGCATCTTATGATGCAGGAATATTGATGATGTGGACAAAACAATGGATGAGATCAATGAGCAAACTGAATGTATGAAACAGATTCAGGAAGCATTATCAGCACCTACTGGTGCAGCAGCTGATTTTGACGAAGTTTGTGTCTCATCAATTCTAATTATCTATGTGTAGATTTTGTTAATTCTCGAATTATACATTAAACAAAAGTATTGTTTCAGGATGAATTGGAGGCAGAACTTGAAGAACTGGAAGAGGCTGAGTTGGAGGAACAGCTCCTACAGCCGGCCACAACTGCCCCTGCTGCTCCAGTTCAGGTGCCTGCTGGCAGGCAACCCGCACGCCCAGCACCCCATAGGAACACGGCTGAGGAGGATGAACTTGTTGCATTGCAGGCAGAAATGGCCCTTTGAAGTGGACATTTGCAGGCCTGTATTGGCACAACTCTCTAGATGTTTGCTCTGTTCACAAATCATGAAACAAAACCCGTAAGAATATGAAGAATTCTTATATCAGCTTTTTTATCCATCTCAACCAAAAAAAATTGGATTTCTTTGTTTGTGATAAGAGAAAACCGGTTCTGCGCGTATCCTTTTGTAAACGAATAGATTGAATGAGAAAGATAACGAATTTTAAACCATTAACCAAAAGGGATAGGATAAATAGTTAAGGGGTCAAATGGATTTTTCGGGGATAGAGAGACTTGAACTAGATAATAATATCAACGGACTTATTAGCTAAAAGACAATTTGCATTGCACATACAATAAATTGGGTAGGTTGTTAGTATAATTTTCTATCCACGATTCTGCTATGTATTAAAATAATTGTATTGAAAAATTTATATGATGAATTTTGATTTAAGAACTAACATTTAAGCCTATGCCGATGCCGCAGCAGCAGAACCAAAACCAGGATCTGGAAATTCATCCGGTGGAGGCTGAATATCATCTGGATCCGGATCCGGATCCGGAATTCTTAGATCCTGTCCGTCCCAATATTGGACTTTTGACCGGCAAACCATAATAATGTTTATAAGCAATTAAAGGACGTAATAATTATAGTTGTATACCGAATAGAGGACTTACAGATCAATTCGAATCCATTTATATCCTACTACAACTTCCCATCCTATACAACTTGAGCAGGTGACACAGTAGATATCTGCAACCACTCGACCGCCCACTACCCTGGTGTGCACAAGATCTTTGTACACATTGGATCTGTAATGTAACATATATTAGCTAGGTCTTAATTAAGCAAAAAGTTCAGCATAGATAAATGAAGGCCTCAAATTTAAGTTAAGAAAACAAAATGTAATTTATGAAAATTTGATTATACATACTTGATCATCCAATTGCCTCTAATAGTAATAAATTAAAATATAGTGTGATCAGATACCTTATCTTTTTAATATTTACATAAAAATAAGTTTGAGTAAAAAATATAGGTAGTAAAAAGCAATTATTTAATCCTGTTGTATTAAAATTGATCCGAGTGTTGCCCAAGTTTAATTTTGTCGGGTTCGGATTAAATTCGAGTTAAGTTCATTTAAGTCTAAAATCAGCCTCTTGTTCTAAACATGGTACATACTGGATAGTATTCATCTTAAATAACTAAAAACAACTTCAATCAAATGTTTACCATAAAAACCATAATATTTAAAACATAAAAATCAATGTTTAACATAAAGACATAATAGCCAAATTTTTAACATAAGACTGATCACAAGTGTTTTAACTTGTAAGTTATATTACTATATTGATTTATATATTTATTTTTAAATATACTCGAATTGAGCCCGATTTAGAATTCGGGTTAAATTTGATAACCTGATACCTCAACCCAGGTATTGCGTAAATTTAATTACCCAACCTAGCTAGTTAAAATTGGGAACCCTAAAACCAAAGACGGAGCAAAAAAAAAAATTTAGGGTGGACACCTTAATTTTTTTTTATTGATGACAAAAAAATAAAATATTTATATTTATTATATTATATTTTGTATTATGTAGACATGAATATTTACTAACAGTAAAAGTCCAAAAGTCAATAAAACACAGAAAAAGAACCAAAAAAAAAAGAACACTAATTACAACTCTTATAAATATGTGAGGCTAATCACAGTACTTTCAATTGATCATATTAGTTTTTATAATTCGAGAGCATTAAATGATAAACTCATTGCCAGTGACATTTGAAATGATTTTCATATGAGTAAATATATTGTAATCCTCCAAGAACAAGAACTACAAGACTTAATACATGTATCTCTACTATGGATGTCAAGTTTTTTCAAAACATAAATTTTATCCCATGAATCTCGACAGACATGGTCATGGTGAACAAAATTTGACTACCAAATAGAAACATCAATATGATATTCAAGCATATAATAAAAGTCTATAGCGTAACAACATGCAAATAATTTGATATCCAATAGCATATCTAAACTTCACAGCTCTTAAGAATAACAACTATGAAGGTATCAAAATAATAAAGCCATTAAAGAAGTAGAAAGCACAAAAATACAGTCTTACACTTCGGAGAATGCCAGTCCGGTGTCTCCATTTGCTCCGGGCTGAAAAATATCACGCCACCATATTAAATATCAAATCTCTATTGACCCACACCCACAGAGAGAGAGAGAGAGAGAGAGAGAGAGAGGGGAAGAGGGTGTACCACCAACGCATATAAGAAATCCGACTTTAATGCTATGTGCGTAGCACATGAACGGCATTGATAAAACTCCTCCTCCGAGTTGAAGCGCTGGACAACACCGACATTCGCCATTGCTGATCGAAACCAAACTCAGTAGCACTGAACAAGATTCTTGATTGTCGAAGGTTCAATTGAAGTCAACTCCTAGACCATGTGAAAATCTCCTTATTTGAAGTCAACACCGACATTCGACATTCGCCTTAATTGAAGTCAACTCCTAGACCATGTGAAAATCTCCTAAATATTTTGTTTTCTTGTCCATAGTATTCGAGCTTTAGTTAGCATCTCAAATTCCCAATATCCCAAAAATAATAATAATAATAATAATAATAACTTTTTTTTATCAGAAGTAAAAACAAATAAATAACTTCAACATCACAAATTACAACTAATTTCGAAAATACCAACATTTTAAGCACTCACAATTTTCATACAGAAATTTCAGCATTCATAGACAGACACAATCAAATATAAACACACTAGTAAGTGAGATACACAATTATCTCCAATACAGTCTCCACTCCATCGGTATTATGCTGGCTGGACACTGCCGGAATGGTCTTAACTATGACATGGCCTTTAGCATTGACATACTTCCCAGTGCCACCCATGATGGCAAGGTGTGATTCCGAGACAGCGGTCCGGTGGACACCGAAGAAGCTGAGACTATCAACGTAACTGCCACTCGTAAACATGACGTTGAACGCCACGGTTTGGCTTGTTCCATCTTCTGAACTCGCTATATAAAACCCTTGTGCTTTACCAACCAAACCAGAACCGAGATCATGCCCTTCAGTTAATTCATCGTCAAACACGGTTATTGTCCCAAACATGAGCTTCTGGAGGGCATTCCCTCCGGGGAGCTGGGCACTATTCAGGGCTGGAAACCCGAACCCTCCACCGATGATGTTGTTTCCATTGTTTTGCATCACATTAGGTGTAGTTCCACCAAGTCCAGTGAGGAAGGGTAAGTTGTTGTTGTTGATAACTCCACTGTTGGCGTTGTTGACTGGGACGCCATTGTTAACTGGGAGGACAGCACCGTTGGGCTTGGCGAACGGGACTTGACCATTAAGAGCTGGGTTCACTACCATTCCAGTCACAGCTCTAGCTGAGGGGTTTGTACCACCAAGTATGTCATGCAAGAAGAAGGAAAAGGTATGATCATCAGGGACTGCAGCACCCAGTGCAGCAACTGGGGCAGTACCTGCTGGGGTTCCACCGGAAACGGGTTGGTCCACTGAATCAGATGCCACAGGTGCAACAACAGGGCCAAGCGGTTCTTCCTCGTCGAGGACTCGAGCTGAGGTGACATATGTGATTGTGATGGCTAGAAAAACTAGGGAGAGCTTCCTTTTGAGTGAGAGAGGAAAGGAATTTTTGGATGCCATGAGGTTGAGAGAATAATGTAAAGCTTTTGGATACTGAGGTTTGATTGAGAAGGCTGTTGGTTTGATGGGATAGATTGATTGGTTGTTTATATACACTGTAAAAGGAAGATTGAAGTTCAAAGAATTATAGGGGAGTTGATGAAATGGAGCAGGTGATTACGTTACCCACTTTTGGGTGTATTAGTTAGAACTTGTAACACCAAGTTTGAAGTTTAAAATACTGATTAGGTCGATATAGAGGGCTGTGTTTAGAAATGATACAAGCAATGAAAAATACTTTAGATACAAAGTAATTCTGCTCAAGTACTAGAGATCTCAACCACAGCTCTGGTCGATGGTCCAGCAAGGAACTCATTTGGGGATGGAAAAGCGTTGCTAATAAAAAGATATCGAACTTAGTGGTGAACTGGTAACTGCCTCGCAAACAACTGCACATAGACAGCAAAGCAACCATAAATCTATCGTAAGGACCACTTGTACAAGACGTCAACTTTTCAATTTAAATTTTGTAAGTTCAGCGATAAAATTAAATTAAATTTGTATAACATTACTTAGGCCTGTACACAAAATTTTCCCTTTGCCCCCAGTTTTGAACTTTCTGCATTAAAGAATTCTTTTATCCACACTCTGAATAAAGGTAATCCTGAGACGGCCACAAGTCCACAAATTTCGTTGATTTGAATCAATTCAGGTTGCTTCTTATATGGATACTCAAACACGAAATTAAAAGATGTACCTGCTTGAATGCAAAACGCTCCTGCAACATTATTTCTTGTATAACACGGAACAGCAGCAAAGTTTGCCGAGCACTGGTTAGGGTTACCATGACTTGAATAAAGCTTGATGGAAAACCCAACAGCTGATTATTGTCAAGACCAAGCCCTTCAAACCCAGGAACTGTTTCCACGGCCTCCAATCTGTTATATAAATCTTGCTTTTTCACTTCTACATGGGAGGCGAGAGCCCAGTCCATAAAGAAGATAGACAGTGGAGCAGACATTGATAAATCCAAACATAAAAACAGGCAAATGCTCAAATCGATGATCGCTTAATGCCATAACCTGTGTTGCAATCCTATGATGCTATTCACCAACCAGCAAGAACATCAAATCGCCTTGCAGCAGGTATGATCAAACCTACTCTGCAAATTTCCATGGATCAGACCACAACTACGAATGCATATTAATGGGCAGAGACCAGTTCAATCACAAGTTCACTTGCAGCTCTATCTTTATCACAAGCATCCGTAACTAGAGCTTCCCAAGACTCCAAATTGAATCTCATTTTCCTCTTCTGCATTTCTTCCAACACAAAGCAAGCATCATCCATCTTCTCAGATTTGAATAGGCCCACAATTAAACAACAAAAAGTGTCCAAACGGGGACAATGCCTGCTCATTAACATTGCATTGAGAACCTTCAAACCTTCCTCATAATCCCCCACATGACAAAACCCATCAACCATCATCCGGTATGTAGCTGCATTTGGCTCACAACCTTTAACCTGCATTTCAACCAATACTTTATAAGCTTCAGCAGCTCTACCCTCCTTGCACAAATAATTAATCAATATATTGTACATCACAACATCTGCCTTAATCCGCCTTTTCTTCATCTCGACAAGCAAAGCCTTTGCTTCATCAATCTTCCCCCTCTTGCAGAGATCGCTCGTTAAAACACCATAATTGACAAGCCGTGGTTTACACCCTTGATACTCCATATCAAACATCATCTTGTTTGCTTCCTTATACTTTCCCGAAGAGCACAAATTTTCCATCAACAAAGCATAAGTGACTGCATTCGGGTTCTTCCCCTTTTTCACCATCTCCTCAAACAAACCCTTTGCTTTATCAAATTCACCCTTTTTACACAAAAACCCAATTTTACTATTATAAGTCACTACGGTGGGTTCAACCTCTCTCTCAAGCATTTCATTAAACATCTGGCAAGCTTTTTCCCACTCACCCTTCTCAAGCCACCCTTTGATCATAATATTGAACGAAACAGAGTTCAATCGAAATCCCATCTTGGAGGAACACTTGAACATCTCCTTCGCATCACAATGCCGACCATTATCAATGAGTACATTAAGAAGTGTATTGAAAGACTGTACTGTACGAGCACAGTTAAAAGAACGCATTTTGTAAAAGAGATTAATGGCTTCATCCGGCAATCTGGCTTTCCCATAATGTTCAATGAGTGCAATGAAAAGGGTTTCTCTACATCGAATGTCATAGATTTGGAGATAATGTAAAAGGGTTTCAACTGCTTCGAAGTTACGAGAACGAGCGAGCTTGTAAATGAGAGAAGCGTAAGAGGGGTAATCATGTTTGAATCCCATTTGATGGTATTCATGGAAGAGAGAGAGTGCTGCATCTGGGTCTTGGACCTGTTTGAGATTGGTGATGAATGGTATGGGTCTGCGGACAGGCTTTGGGTAGTGTTGGCCAGGTTGTTCGGGGGATGGTTTGGGAGGACGAATACGGCGGTAAGGTTGAGAAGGTTTGTGCTTGGTGTGTATGTAAAGTTGAGATATGAAGGTTGACGCAGAATTGACCGGTTTGGATCGTGAATTGAGCATTGAATGAAAAAATGGTCTCATTGAACTGATGGAGAATCCAAAGGGAAGAAAGAGTTCGTTGGAGGGAAAAACTAGAGGTGCAAACTAAGGTATGCATAAATAAATATATAGGATTATTTATGCCGTGGGACTGCTATGCATTGCTACTGATGGCATTCAAGAAATCAATTTCCAAACCAAGGTATTTTGTCAAATCATAATTATTGACTTTTTTAATAATTTATTATTATTCTTTCAAAAAAAATAGTTTCAACTCACATTTTTCAAGATAACGTCGTACCCAAAATATGTCATTAACTAAAAACTCTTAATATTATTATAAACATTACATTTACTAATGATCCAATATTATATTTATGTTGTACTTGTTTGGGTAGATAGAAAAATAGAATGATAGAAAGTGAAAGTAATATTTTTTTATTATTCGAAAGAGGAATTATTTTTTTCAACCTTTTTTGTTTGGTAATAGGTATAGAAAGTAGGAAGGAATAATTTTTTTGTATTTGGTAGAATGAAAAAATGAAAGAATAAAAAAAATGTACATGCATATTTTATCATAATATATTATATATGTATATATTAAAGGATATGTTAGTAAATAGCATATATTTCAACACACATAATTAATATTTCATCTATTTTTTCTCTCAATTTTGGACAGATTAATTTTATTGAGTTAAAAAGATTTTTTTTTTTTAATAGCCGTTGAAGGGGAGGGGCAATATGTCGAAAAATTGTTTCATTAGTTAAAAAGGAAATTAATTAATCCACTTTTTTATCGGATCTATTTTTTTTTTTTACTAAATATGAGGTTTTATCTATCCCTCCAATTGAGTGATGTACAAGAAAAAAAATTTGGAAGAAGATCAAATTTCTTAATCTTTCATTTGGTACGATAAAAAAATGGAAGAATGGAAAGTTGAAAAGATAGATAAAATATCATGTTTGGTAAAAAAAAATGAAAAGTGGATAAATGAACTTTCTTTTCAACTCACTAAAATTAATCCTTCCAAAATTAGAAAGAAAGTGGATGAAAAATAATTATTTGTGTTGAAATGTATCTTATTTATCTATATATCATTTTATATATACATATATTGTGTATACATTAATTTTTATATATTTTTTTTAAAATAAAATTTTTTAAACATAAAACATAAAAAATTAAAATTAAAATACTTTTTCCATCTTATTAAGCACAAAAAAAAATAATTATTTTTATTTTTCATTCATCCAATCAAACACAAAGGAATGAAAATATATCATTCCTATTTTCTTTACTTGAAAGATATAAAATATATTTTTTTATATTTCATCCCTTCTACTTTCTATCTTTCCGACCAAACGGAACATAAGTTTTTGAAGAATTAATTTTTATATCCCTTGTTTTTTAATACTTAATTGTGTATTTATATTTTCTAAATTGTCTTAATTTTAAAACAAAAACGTATTTTACAAAAATATTTTTACATTGAAAAAAACTTTAGTTTAACAATGATTTTACAAAAATGATAGATCAAAAAATAAGTTTAAAACTTACTGGTACATAAGAAATTAAGTTCTTAAAAAAAGCAGTAATTTAGTAAACAAAGCTTAAGATAAAAGGGGTGGCGATGATCTTAGGAATTCATCCCAGCCTGCTGCAAATGGTGTGGGTTTAAGCTCGAGTCTCATCCAAGCTAAATTTTATTTTTTTTGAAATTTGTATTCCTGACTTGGAATCTTAGACAAAAAAAAAATGCAAATATGATTATTTTTTATTTAACACATTGCAAGTGTAAGTAACAATTTTATATAAGCACTCTTGGTAAGTATATCAAGAGATATGTTAGCATTCTGTCTATCCAAATCACTTTTTATTTTCTCCATGTTTCTCTTCTTTTTGTTTTTTGGTTAACTATTTGGTTAATTGTTATTTTCATTAAAGGTCTCAAAATATGACACGATTCGTTGAGACGACGCGAAATTAGAGGGATTTGAGTCTTCTTTAAACTAGTCGTTTTATAAATAAGTGGACCCGACACGATTAATAAACAAACCGGATATGAGTGAAATCAATCAATTAAAAGAAATATACGACATGACTCATTTATATATTGATTATACACAATTTCTACACGACACAAACCCGATATGACACGATTTGTTAGATATCGGTTATAGATGGAGTGTTTTTTAACACGAAACATGTTAAAATACAACACGAACCCGCCTCACCCAATACGATTGACTAGTCTAATTTTCATTATAATATACTGATTGAAAAAGGAGATCTCCAATATTCATGTCATGTAATTTTCTGAATTACATTTCCTTTAAAAATAAAAATAAAAATCCTTTTCTTGGAGTTCTTATTGTGGGTTGTTTGGCAGATCCTGGATACCTGTTCCTTCTGATGAATTTTTCTTTGTGTTTATAATTCCCAAGTATCAAAAGCCATAGGGACACTAAGATGTATCATTTCTTAGATTCATATTATGGTATGAATGATGTTTTTCAATATTATACCTTTTTGTCTAATTATAAAATGACACGCGTTGATTGTTTAATCTTTTCATTTTAGTTCCCCATTTCTTTAGTTGCAGTTTACAGTGTCCTGTCTAATATGAGCATCCACATCACATACTAGTTCAAGCATCTCCATCATCCACAAAACTCTATCAGGCAATATAAGAGGAGAGAACAGAAATAAGAATGGTAGGCCATTCAATCATTCATCACAAGTCAAAAGCAACAGAAAATTGTAAACAGAACAGCTAAACCAAAACCCACATTAGCAAATGCCAAAGACTTTTATATATGAAAATCCAAAATAAAACATGTTATTTTTAAATATCCAATGTGAAACACCACCACCACCATAAAAACAGCTTAAATATGAAAGGAAACTGCTAAATACTAGATTTTATTCCTATGGCAAACTAAAATGGGAGGAATCCAGTTAATTAGGAGGAGGGAAGAAAATGGCATCCGACATCCTCTTCGAGCTGAATTGCTGCTCTACGTCAGAAGCCACATTGAAGGACGCTTGCAGCACCTGGGGAGATAATGCCTTCCACGCTGAAGTCCTTCCAGCTAGATGAGTGAATATAGGACTACCATATACAATATCATTTGAATTAGACAACAAAAAATAGAGAATCACACAATTTTAGAATAAGCTTTTTGAACAAATACCCGATGAAGTCACTATGAAAGGAAACTTACTTGGGAGTAGTGATGATAGAGAACCACTCCAGGCCATCAGGGTCAGCAATCTTAGAAACAACGAAAAACCTTGGCACAATGAACAAATTACCACCCTTAATAGTTGTTTCCAAGACACGTTTTCCGTCGACACCAACAACCTGAACACGGCCACTACCCCTAACAATATAAGTAACCTGCAGTGCCGAGTCACAAGAGAAACCTGGAGAGCAC